TCTTTCTCCAGAAAAGTATTCTCCCAGTCCATGGGAAATGTAGTGCTGTGGTTCCTGTGTCCCAAGAGAGTGCACTTGTAGAAGCAGCAGCTTTCAAACTGTTTTCAATGTGGATGAAAAGGTTATTTTTAGCTATGAGTAGTCAGAATAATCAGTTACTCTATAGTATTCCCATCTGCAGCAGTTTCAGAAATGTAGGGGCCCTTCTTTCCACCTGGTCTACTGAACCACTAAATTAAAACGTATTTTAGGAAATCCACAAACAAAAGAAATTTCATTAAGTAAGTAATACTTTTTCACTCGATTTCCTTTCCATATTTTTTTAGGGGAAATATATGAAATGATGTTGATTGAAAGAAGCAAGGTAACCATTAGCAGCAGTGTGTTTCTCAAATGTAGGTAGCAAGAGGTCATCAAATGATGCCTGGTTACTTGCTGAGGTCTACTGAAAACATGCTGAGATTTCTGACTCTGTACTCTCTCTCAATCTCTACTTGTTCCTTTATCTTATACACGCTACTTTTTTGATTCAAAATGAACTGCCAGCATTTGGCTTACAATATTTGATCCAATAAACTGTAACCAGAATGAAATTGCCCTCTAAGTAATAATGCCATGATTTTGTTCAGTCTGGATATAAATGTCTTTGTGACGAAACATCAGCATTTCTGGAAGCTCAAAGGAAGCAAACAAAGTGTGCTGCACTTCAGATATATCCTGTTATTCCACTTACATTTGTCTTTTCTTCATTTGAGGCTATTAACTTTTAATTTGTGTTATTTCTATGGAGAAAAAATAGAAATTATTCTTCAGTAGTAGTCAAGCTATATGCATGTAGCAAGAGGTAGTGAAAGGCTTCTGTGTGTTTTTGAATGTTAAGCGTGTTGCAAATCTGCTCTGGTTTAAATTCAAAGAAGAGATCTTGATTTTCCATTTACAAGCAAAATATCCTGTGTAGAGTTAATATTTTGCTACTACTGATAGAAAAACTTTGGTCTGGCTTAATCTTTAAATTCCCAATTAACCCTAATCCAGATGGGCATCTTCCTTCAACATTCTCTTCTAGATGTTCAAATGCCATCAATCTTCTGGCTTCTTTCCCGGTTATTGGCTGGTCATGAAATTGAACTGCTGTGTTTAAAAGAAAATATGAAAATGAAGTCCTCACAATGCTTCTGGATTTTTTTGTCTACTGCTGTTATGGATGGACATGCATTATTCTTCTTGGAAAGAAAAATTCAAGCAAATTCTAAGAGGCAATTACTAACAATTATTTGTTTTGCAGTATGACTGGTGTTTACCTGCACCTCTGCTGAGCTGCATGGCCACTTGCATCCTGATACCACCTGGGATGCCAGATTTGACAAGTACAATTTTTTATCATGCAGAGGTGTTTGGAAAGCATTCCCTAGTTTTCTGATTCCCAATAACTGAGTTGAACAAATCAGTCAGTTGTCGCCAGTGCCTTCCCTGAGGCTGTTCAGCTGGTATAGTTATCTAAACAGAGCACTTCTGGCTAAGAAATTCATTGCTTTTCATTTTTACTTGTAGTATCACCTGATAAATTAGCTTATGAAAACTTGATCAGTTTGCAGCTCATGTAAGGATCTCACTGTCTCCTTTCACAAGACCACGTAATAGTTTATACCAAGAGTTTCTTAGGGCTTCTTAGGATTCCTTGGGTCCTCTGTTCAAGAATCACTTCGCTCAGAGGGACCACAAGGCACTCGCAACCTCTTCTCATCTCAATCTGCATAAATTATTCTGTGCACGTATATTACTCTTCCATTCTGTTCTGCTTTAATATGAACTATCAGAAGTGATGAAGCACTGGAACAACCTTCACAGATGTGACTGTTCCTGGGCATCTTAATATAGAACACTTTCAAATGGTTGTTACTCTAAAATAAACAATATTACTTTCTACATTGTTTTACTATTCTTGCTCTTTCTCTATCTTTCTTCCCATGAAAAGATGAGATGAGGAGGATAAAATAATATAGGACGTCTTGCAGTATTAAGTGAAGATGCTACTTCTTTCTGCTGTCTGGGTAATCTATTCAAGGTCACAGCAGCTTTTAGATAGAAGTTGGACTGCTGAGGAGTGAGAAGCTGCAATCAGCTGTCGTCTTCCAGTCCCTGAATACATCAGCCTCACTTAGTTGCAGGGTAGGGTCATGTATTTTTTAAAATGCTCCCCCCTTTTTTATTAATTTGTGTTGAATAATGAAAGGACGTATATGAGGGTGTGCACAGTCAGACTGAGATGAGGCTTTGTGAACAGAATTTCATGTTCTGAATGACTTCTCCTTTCAGTGCCTAACCTCTGCCGCTGCTGTTTCAGCCAGTTTCAGAAGGAGAGCTAAGGTCCTCACATGGTGCAGGGCTGCATGATGCCTCCTCAGGAAATCACTTATTGCCTCTGAGCAAGGCTTTCTCTTGGATGTATGTGGCACAATATATGTTATAGTTTAATTAGATGTTTCAGACTTGTTGCTGCTCGCTTTCTATGGGAAACTTTAAACCTTCATTTTCTTAAACAAAGAAACCATGAAATAATTTGTAGTGCTTTAATATATTTAAAAATACTCACTACAGTGCTAGCAGTTGAAATTGTTTGGCACGATGTGTCTTTTTTAAGTGTGAGAAGCAGGGCTAATTGTTTGGAGGTCATTAATCTGCCATTTACAAAAGCATCCCACCAAGGTTTCTGGATGGGAAAGGTATGCATCCCTGCTATTTGACACTTCTCATAGAGCATTCAAAGACTGAGCATGGGCATTGTGTGGACAGCTTCCAGAAACTAGTTGCTTTCAAAGTTTCTCAAGTCTTCACTGAGAATTGTGTTCTTAAGACAAAGTTGCCTTTGAAAACTGGATGTGGATTATGGCATGTCTAATACTGTTCTGCAGACTTTGAGCCCTGACTATTTCAGCGTATCATCTATATACTTTCATTATAATTGCTATTTTGCACATTTCTCTCTTGAGACATTCATGGGTCTGGAAGTTGAGTAGTGCTTGTAGCCCTTTGCAGAGCTGTAGGCAGGACGCAAGCATGGAATGTTTCAGTGCGACTGCATAGTTGGTACTCATTGGAATTAGTGACTGGTGTGATGCAGTTAATTGTCCATATGGATGTGTACAGATCTCCAAGAGTAGAATCAGATCAGATTCTTCTCCAGCTGTCTGCAACACCTAGCATGTTTTCTGTCTGTAATTAGGGAATGCAAGAGTCTTCATGGTGAGCAGTCGCTGCTGATGCATGGAAAGTGTTTCTCAAGACCTTGTAAAAGAGAGAGTGTAAGATGATGTGATGCAACCCCCTTTTTATTTAAGAGAGGATAGAAGAAATGACAGCAACAGATAGAAGGGTGCTGGCAGAATCTTAATTGTGCTGCCTTATGAAGAAATTTTGCAAGAGAAAATAGATAGGCAGCATGTGTGCATATAAAATTGACTCTGCCCATTGGCTTGTTGTGGTCACCTCCTTTCTGAAAGCTGTGTAGCCACACGGTATGGATTGTGAGTCAAAAGCCTCAATTGTCTGCCCTGCTGCCTGGGAAAAGGAGTTGCTTATATTTAGGGGTTGTGCAAGCAACACCTAACAAAAATTTCAAGGGCATTTTGGATCAGTATAATTTGTGTAAGGCTGAATGCTGGAAATTTATGTATGAATTTGTCTATGTATATACAGCATATAACACTGCCAGCATAGTTATGGAAACACAGATAAAATGAGCTGTGACCAGACCCAGCTGAGATGTGATTAAAGGCCACAAAAGGCCTGAATGGCTGATATTAATTATTCAGAGTGTAAAATTAGCAAATGACTAATTGCTTCATTTAAGTTGATTAGGGTTTCTTTTAGGTTAAAGAGCAATTGAAAAAACTCAAGGGAGTTCATGAAAATCAATGAAGTTTATAGGAGTAAGTTTGTACTTTCACTTTTAACTCTTTATCCAACAAAATCCGAACTACCTGTGTTTTATTTACATGCTGGTAAAGAATTTACTTTTTTCTTAAACTGTGTGCTTATCTAAAGCAAAAATCAAAGAGCATGAAAGGAATGTGAATCTCCCAGATAAGCGATTAATTCTGAAGTTTGGTCCCACAGGTTTCCTGTCTGAATACTAGCAAGTGACTTTTATATCTGCTCACTCTTGTTTTATGAAAACAACAAAATAAACCCCTCTCTGTGTTGTTTACTAATGTAGTAAATCCTTTGGCTACGGGGATGTGAGGAATGTTCCTAAAATGGGAAGTTAAGTTTTTAGATCTGAGTGGCCTTCTCTAGTATTTTAAATATGCTGTTTTGAAATAGTAAATGCAGTATATATTTTTATTGATTGCTTTTCCCCCAAAAAAGGCAACTTAAAAAAACATTGAAACTTTCCTCCTGTTTCCAAAATATGATCCACCTGAAAGAAGGTTGACTTTAAATATAAAAGTTGTAAAATCATAGTTCAATTTACAAAAGGGCATTTATAAAAATAGGTTTTACAAGGCAAAAATAAAGGTTTCAACTCAAATATTTCTTATTGGAAGAACAATAAAACTGAAACAACAACAACAAAACAGAGCAAAAAACATTATTGGAGTGTTTTGTTTTGGGTCTGCATCTTCTGCTGATGATTCAGAGAGGAAGAAGTTTTGTTTTTCTTTCTTTGACTTTTCTTTTGTACAAAACCTTCCATGCTGAATCTATTTAAAAATCTTTTTGATTTTTTTTCACTGACCTGTGAGAGTCACACGCTTGTTTATTTTTAACCTGATTTTAAACTCACTGCCAATATCCCCTTTTTTCCTGATTTTAAACTCACTGCCAATATCCCCTTTCTTCCCCTTTTGTATCTTTATGCCTGGCATGGTCCATTCTTTCTAGTCAGTAACCAGAAGTCTTCCTGGTTGAATATGGTTTGGTTTTAGATCAGTGTTTTGTGTGCAGTACTATTTTGTTTCAGTATTGTTTAATTTTTCTCATTTTTTCCCCCTTGGCAGACGCAGGGTGCTGGCCATATCTGATGGCATTGAACATATTGGGAATCTTCGCTGGGAACTTGCACTGTGCCTCCTCGCTGCTTGGACTATCTGCTATTTTTGCATCTGGAAAGGAACAAAGTCGACTGGGAAGGTAGGATTGAAATACTGTGTATCAACTGAAGTATCACTCTCTTGTGTCCCAAACCTGTGTGTTATTATTTACCTTTCCTTACACTGTAATGGTAGAATTTTAAGTTCATTTTACATTTTTCTAAGTAGCTGCATTTATAGAGTATATGAAGTACTAATACTGAGTAATTAAGAATTAGTCCCATTTTTTTTTTTTTTTTTTTTGCATTGGTTTGTTCACCTTATTTCCTAATTCTTTTATGTGAGGCTGGTTTTTTTTGTTGTTGTTTTCCCTGTAGTTGTTTTGTTCTTTAGCAGCCAGCCTTTGAACCCTGAGATCAGCAAGAGTTGTGTTGCTTTCTGTACACGTGGTATTAAAATATGAATTTAGTCCTTAACTGAACAGGGTTGAAACTCTCAGTGACACAAACAAATTACACAAACAAGCAGTGCATTCAGAAATACCAGGAAACTATAATAATGCTGAGGAAAATAAAATTGATCAACAAAAGCAGAAAAAAAAAACATTAAAAAATAAAAACTCAGATGAAGATGGATGTATTAGGCAAAAATAAAAAATTCAAAATAAAAATCCAGCCATTCTATATTGGAAACCCAACAGAGCAATACAACTTCACATCCTAAGGAAGTCCTGGGACAATGGAGGGGTTACCTCGGTGTGGTAGCAGACATAGATCTGAGTAGAATATGTGATTAGTTGAGCAAGCAGAGAGAGGAAAAGAGTAATTGTTCTGGTAGGAACCTGAGAAAACTCAATGGTTTCTCATGTGGAAGCCAAAGAATACAAGAAAAAAAATGCTGGATTGCTGAAACATTTTGTTTATCTAATTTTTGGTTGTTTACTATATGGTTAGTTTGTAATTGTGGTTAATTTTTTTTTTTGTTTGTTTCTGTTTCAGTAGGCTGCACTGATAAATGAAATATTTGAAATACAGTGTGTAGTTTTTCTTTTTATTATTGTTTGGAAAATATTGAAATGACTTTTTCTAGCTTTCATGAGCACATTCATTCTTCTTCCTCTCAAAATTATGGCTGCAATTATTTGCTGAATTCTGTTTCTATCTGCCAACTGTGTCAGTCAACCTGGCACTGCATTTTTCACCTAAGCAATTTACACAGATGGATTTAGCCCTACTTTTATCAAGTTGCTGCTTGAAAGAAGCTGAGAGGCATGTCTAGAGATACATATAAGCAATAATAGTTTAGAGGAAAGAGGGGGGAAAAAGAAGACAAAAATATAGAGGCAAAAAAGTGAGATAAAGGTATGGCAAGGTAAATATATATATATGTCTTTGAAGTATGTACTCCAGGGAGGTACGAGAGTGGTTTAGAGCTACAACAGGCAGCAAAGAAATGAAGTTGAGCAAAACCAATCTTTTTTTTTCCATCAGAAAGAATGTCTAAAGATGGATATCTATTCTAGCGTGGAATAATCTTGTCCCAGAGGTGAAGGAAAAGCATGTATTTTGAATGCACATATGTGTGTGAATACAGGGCTGTGCAAAACTGTGTACAGCACTGAAGAAAAATAGCATTGGTAGGAATGATCTGCTAATAGGAGTCTCTAGTGATCTTGGAGGGGATGTACTTTCTTTTAGCATTTGTGCAGTTTACATTTGGATTTTTGTTATTCACCATGCACGTATCGCATAAGATTCCTGCAGTTTATACCACTTGCCCAGAAAAAGGTCTTGCATTTGAAAATGATTCAAGTGAAACTGTTAGATTTTTTTCCTGACTGCTTAACTAAAATCTTAGCTCACTAGGAAATGTAATAAATGTATTTTTCTTCAGTTTCATTTTGATAACCACCTTCCACATGAGGTTAAGTGAAATAACCTGAGATAAAAACATTTCTTGCCCACTTGAAACAGGATGATACTATTTCTGATTTCAACTAACCAGAATTAACTTAGCTGTCTTGCAAAAGAAATGCAAAGAAAGTGAAATCGGTGCTCAGTCTTCAGCTTTATTGGTCTCAGAGGGGTCCTGCATGAAGTAGATTCATTATATATTTATACTACTGAGATTGTTTTGCCACAAGCTGCGCTTTTATCTCCAAAATCATGAGGAAGGCAACTGATTCCTCACACTAAAGGTCTGACACTCTGGTCTTCAGCAGTCTGTCAGAGGATCTACTGCTGTTGCAGTAAGATTATTTCATAGCCAACAGTGATTCTTTCTTATTTCATTTCTGCTTCTGTAATTAGTAAGGAAAGCCTTTTAGTAGATCCATGTGTAATAGTGCAATTGGTTTCAGCGATACATTTTTTTACCCTGTTAATTCAGGGTAAAAATTACTGCTGAAAAAAAAAAAAGATGAATTAAAGTTAATTCATCTTTCAGATTTGTTTCAGAATTTTAATATTCTTACGCTTGCCTCTTATCACTGAGAAGGTCCCTGCAAACCTGTGCCATCTTACTGCTTCCTTAGACTTTCTAAGCACAGATTTAGTAGTCAAATGTTGTGGTGTTACAAAGGATCAAAGTCCTCAGAAATAGAGATGGTAGAGCAGTTTTCTGGTCTGAGTTTCTGTGTCTGATATAATGGTGTGTTTTAAAAGTTCCTAATTAAGTTAATCTATCTCTAGTCTTTTGTGCTAGATTGAATTTCATTATGTGTTTATTTCCAGGAAGCATTTAAGATTTTTCTCTAGATTTTTATTGTAATATTATTTTTTTCTTAATGCTAGGCTGTTAAATTTCCTATACACATCAGCTGGATTGATTATTTTCAATGAAATAACACATTTATTCAAAGCAGAAAATGTCTTGAAATTTTATTACTTTTGAAGACATATTCAAAGTCTGGTTTCTGTGGGCCAGAATATCAGGAGAGAAAGAGGAAGGGGAAAATGAAGATGAAAGATAAAGGTCAAAAGAGACATAATGTTTTCAGATAACTATGCTCTATATGAATATGTGAAATATTCAAGAGGTCAGTTTATTCCTTTCCTCTTTTTCTCTGCATCCTAATGCATGATGGCAGGAAAAAAAATCTAAGCAATAAAAGTTGTCATTAAATCAAACCATCATTCTCTGAGTAGCACTAATACAGAATTCATCTACTCAGATTATGAATTGAATGTTTAATATTTTAAATTAATAAATGTATTAAATCTAACATACAGCTTAACTCCAAATGAAGTTCCTGTGACACTGTTAATGAGGTGTTTCAACCTTTTCCACTTAGAGTTCTTGAAACTCATCGCTTTCTTGTAAAACCTTTTAGTTTTCCATTCCAATTAATGTCTAATATTAAAACAATTTCAGGTAGTTCTGACAGCTAAATATGCCAACAGAATGTTATTCATATATTATAACTTACTGAGATTGATAACATATAACAATCTTGTCCAAAAATGCTCTCAAAGTTGAGCTAAGAACTACCTAGGAGACTGATAAACATTAATTTTCTGAACACATTAGGTATTATCCTAGACTCTAACCATTACCTCTTAGTTTAGTGCTTCATCTTTGAAAGACATTTATGATTAATAACTATGGCAATTCTGAATATTTCTGTGATGTGTACAGCTTGCATAGCAGCTGGGTCTTGCTAATTTTTGATATTCAGATAACATCTGTGAAATCTTCGTGTAGCAATGAAAAGGATACCAGTTCTTTTGTGGATCCTAACTGTCTGTTTATTAATTTGACTAATTGCCCTTGAGCTTTAAACTTTGAGAAAGGGACATCAGAACTTCCTACTCAGTTCTTCTGAGAGTCCTTTCTGACTATTAGATATTTTTCTATTTTTTTTAATATTTTTTCTTTTTCTAATGGCAGTACAAATATTTTTTCAGATAGAGATCACTCCTATGACCTCGTAGTGACTCCTTGTTTCAAGAAAGATGTCTATACTAATCTATATTTTTCATGTGCAATATCATTTACATTTCCAAGAAAATAATGTAAGGATGCTCTCTGTCTCATTGCAAAGACTTGGGCCCAATGAATGAATAATGCAAACTCTGCTGCATATTTCAGTAGGTCTGCCAAAGGATATTGTAGATATTATAGATTGCTGAAAGTCATGTTTTGCAGAACATTTTTAACATACCAGGTAATATTAACATAAGAATTTGTGCTCCACCATTTCCTTCTTTGCTTATAACTCCTTCTTGATTATTTTTATATAGGGTCTACTACAATTATAATGCTAATAGGATGCATTATTCAATTATGGTTTAGTTACAAAACCATAACAAAAAGCAAACAACTAATGAACTTATATTCCTTACCATATTAGCAAACTATAATAAAATTTAGAGTTCAGTCCAATTTGTACTCTGAAATCTTCCCATAAATTAGACCAGTAAGTGTGGTTATTTCTCCCAGTATATGGCTGCTATCATTTGGGTAATACTGATTTGGAGAAAAAAAAAAAAAGAGGGTAGGTGAAGGAAAATTTCTATTGGCCAGGGAAATTTCATTTAGTAAAGAGATAAAAATAAAATAGCCTACTATAATGCTGTAAGCCAGATTTCATTGTTTCAATGGACTCGACATGCAGTAAGCATTTTCTGATAGGAAGTGTTAGAATATTGTGTATCAGCAGGATTTTGATATTAGACTATCGTACTGTTTGTAATGATCACTGAGACCAAGACTCATGTCGTTTTTGAATCATCACAAACGAGTTCTCATTAGTACCATGAAGAATCTTCTTCTATTATGGACAAAACCAAACAGAAAGTTATGTAGCACTTTTTTTTACTTCCACCTGACTCCTCATGAAAATGTGGTAGAGCTTTAGGATCAGTTGGAAAAAAGAAATCCCATAAGAGCCTCTTTATTTTTAATTTTTTAACTAATTTATGCATCACAGAGATGGCCTAATAATCATTGAACAGTATTTTTTCTGACTTTGATCTCTCAATGTTTTATCCCTTCCTAAATTTTGTGTTGAGTTCCCTGAATTTCAGCACACCCTAATTTTAGTTGTTGACCTTATGCGGTTTCTCCACTTACACTTCAAAGCCAAAACATAAGGAGATG